TGTTGAGATCCTAATTTATTTTGTGTTTACTCACATATGTACTTGTTTCCCTCTGACAAAATGTAAGCTCTTTGAGAGTAGGGATTGCATCAGCCTTTGTATGTATGTATGTATGATTGTATGCATGCACATATGTATGAATATATGTTGTATTTACGTATCATGTAGTATCTAGCCTGATGCCTGGCACATAGTAGTAGGTACTTAATAAATGCATTTGATTGATATTGAAGACGAATATAGTAGAGTCTCACTTGGTTCCAGGGAGAGATAGCTGTCCCTTTAGTGAATTTGAACCCCAACATTTAGAAAGAGTAGTCACAGCCCAGATTTCAGTCAGGATAGGCAGTCAGGTGCCTACGGTGGGTGCAGTCTGCAGTGGTGGACAGCGCCTTCATGACACATTCACTTGGCTGAACACTGAGCTTCAGACTGGTTGCACTTTTCCTAGAAACCTATTCTCCTCTCCAGTTCCCAGAATTCTCCTTACGATTATCACAAGTTTGCTTTGAACATGGCCTAATAGAAAGGGCTCTGGATTCAGTTTTGGAAGGCCTAGGTTCGAATCCTCTCGTGGCTGTTTCCCTACTTTTGAGCATTGGACAGGTCATTTAAGCTTCCTCATCTCAAAGAAGAAGGGGTTAGACTAGAGCAGGGATTCCTGATCTTGTTTGTGTCATGGACCCCCTTAGCGGTCTGGAGAAGCCCAAGCCCCCTTCTCAGAATAATGTTTTGAAATACATAAAATGAAATACATGGAATTACAATGGAAACCAATTACATTGAAATAACAGTTTTAGCAAGTTCGAGTACCCCAGTTTAAGAACCCCTATCCTGGCTGATCCTTTCTGGCCCTAATGTTGTGAATTTGTCACCATCTCAAGTTGCATGTGGCACAGGGAAGGCTGGAGGAACAGTAACATATGGGCTTTGTGTGTGTGTGTGTGTGATTTTTGAGCTCAGGGAGGCTGATATTCTAACTTTGTCCAGGACAGACAAAAGCCTTGCCCACTCTGAGGAAATGATTAAGTGTTTCCTGTACTTTCAAGGAAGAGCTGGCAATCCCAGGGGAGAACAAACACCTCAGCAGGAGCAGCACCATGTTCAGACAAGCTTCTTCCCACCCAGCTCAGACTTCACATCCTGCTCCCCCTCCCAGGGCTCCAGGCTCTGGGGTTGAACTGGCCTCCCACCCCAGCCCAGGGACCCAGAAGGGCAAGGGCGAGACTGGGCCCAGGGTGATGAAGTGGCAGATAAGAAGCCTCTAAGCCTCATTCGTTAGCATGTCTGAGCTCACCATTGCAGTATTTTTTTTTTAACATCACAACAAAGGATTGAAAAGGCTTCTTCCAAAATGCCTTTTTTTTTTTTTAATAAGAACTGGGCGATGAATCAATCATTGTTAATCAGGATTCTGTGATCTCTAGTCAAGTTATGGTGCTAAGAAAGAAATTGCAGCCATGGGAGGAATTGGAGTAGGGGGCTGGGGGCTCTCTTCTTCCAGCTATAGAAATCCTTCTTTCCAGTGAATAGGAGCGTGAGCCAGGCTATTTATACCCAGCTCTGGCAGCTCAGGCAAGGAGATAATGGTCACAGTTTCCATTCGGAGCTGTCAGCCAAACAAGCCATCTCCCCCTTCAGGCGACCAAGCCTCTCTGTCCCCTACAAAGCCCCCGCCTCACTCTTCAACTGCTGCCCTCTGTTCCTCCCCCCCAAGCAAGCAAAGGCTAGACAGAGGAACCAAAGCCGTCTGAAATGAAGGAGAGAATTGTGAATAATCAGCAGGCTGGAGGGGCCTCAGGCTGAAGCAGGGGGCTGCATGCTACAGATGGAGGCCAGAGTTGGTTCCGTAATTTCCATGAATCTTGTTTTGGCACAAAGGCCTATTTAAGGCCTAAATAGATGACTGTGGGTTTAGCACTAGGAGAATAGGCTTCAGATTGTGGCTCAGAGTGGTTTTGGATGGGTGGGGGAACCTTAACTTTCTATCACAGGCTCTCCCCAAGTTGCTGATGGAGGAGGTGAAGGACACGATAGTCTAGAACACTTGTTATCAGGCCACGTGAGGACTAAGCACTCCTGGGCATGACCCACACCAGATTAAAATGTAATTTCTATCTGATTTTAATGTGTTGATGTTTTAATTTTTAAAAAGAGGAAATTTATAAACATGTGTGGGTTTCTAAGACAATAGGCAGCCCACAGGGATCCTTCTGCATAGTTTAATGTCTCCCATTTCCATTGGAGTTTGATATCATTGTTCTAGAACAGAGGTGGGGAGCCTGCAGCCTCCAGGCCACATGTGGCCTTCTAGGTCCTCATGTATGCCCTTTGGCTGAATCCAAATTCACAGAACAAATCCCCTTAATAAAAGGATTTTGTTCTATAAAACCTGTACTCAGTCGAAAAGCCGCACCCAAGGACCTGGAAGGCTACATGTGGCCTTAAGCCCAAGGTTCCCCACCCTTGGTCTAGAGCTTTGAACTTCAAAAAAATTCCCTCCTGTTTCTCTGATCTGAGGATCTGAGTAGCAGGAAAGGCAGGTCAGTGAGCACACTGCGGTGGAAAGCCCCTCCCTGAGCTGTGGGGGAGGGGAGAATATTAAGAGGTCTGGACTCTGGCTCCAACTCTCCTGCTAACTGGCTTTGGGCAACGTCCTTTGTGTCATCAGTTTCATTGTCTGTAAAATACAATGCTGGATGAAACTGGAGTTTCTTAAACTTTCCTAGGTCACGGCTGTCTGGTAGAGCCTATAGATCTTTTCTTAGAATACTGTTTGTAAGTGTACAAAATAAAGTAAGTAGCATTATAAAGGAAACTGATTACATTAAAACACAGTTATCAAAATATTTATTTAAGTTCAGACACAACCCCCTGCCTAGGTCAAGAACCCCCGAACTAGATAATCATAATTATTTATCTATCTAACACTTTGAAGTTTGCAAAGTACTTAACAGACTATCTTGTTTGAGTCTATGTGTCTACCCCACAATAAGATGTGTGGTAGGTACCATAAGTACTTTTAGTCCCATTTTCCAGACAGACTCACAAAGGTTAAATGACTTGATCATGGTAACAAAGCTGATACCAGAGGCAAGATTTGTCCTGGGTCTGCAGCCTTTTCAGCACCCCATCTAGGTATCCTCCATGCCCGTAGACTTCTATTGGGATGACTCAAGCCCTCTACTTTGGTGCAGCCTTGCCACTTAGTGAGTTCCAGGCCTCTGACGTTTTTCAAAAAATGGATGGCCACTTATTTGGAATAGTATAATTGAATTCATGCTTCAGATAATCATGATCACTTCCTGGACTGGATAAAATCTGGGGTCACCTCCAAATGTGTATGACTATGAGGTCTAATCTCCTTTCCCTTCCCAAGGAGAAAGCCCTTTATTACTCAGGTAGTCTTGATGAAACATGTTTCCTTATTTGCATTTGAGTCAGAAATGCTCCTCTACTTGCTTTTTTCTTTCACCCAGTCAAGGCAGGAAGCTGCATTAGGGAGCAGTGAAAAGAAAAGAGAGAATGATGGTGAAGGGAGTTCTTTGGCCTGGAGTCTCAAGGTCAGCATCAATGAGAATCAGGCAGGCATTCAATAATCATTTAAGTACTTATTAAGTGCTAGGCACTGTGCTAAGCACTGGAAATACAAAGAAAAGCAAAAGAGAGATCCCTGATCCTTAAGAAAGCTAACTAATGTGGTCCCTTAATTCCAAAGATGATATTCACTACCCAGAAATATGTCCACTTCTGGGCACTATAGTTAGGAAGAACCTTGATAAGATGGAGAATGTCTGGAAGTGGGTGACCAAATTGGTTAAGGGCATCAAGTACATACCATATATGGCTCAGTTGAAGGAACTGGGGATGTTTTGCCTGAGAAGAGACAACTCAAGGAGGAACATTATCTCTGTAATTGAAAGATTGTCATGTGGAAGAAGGATTGGGCTTATTTTGCTTGGTTTATGGGCCAGAACTAGGTGGAAATTTCAGAGAACCAGATCGGGACTTGACATTATGAAAAACTTAAGTGCAATTAAGTGCAAAAACTTTCAAAGTACAATTAATGAGCTGCATTAGGAGGTCATGGGTCCCCCCTCCCTTGATGGATCAAGCAAAGGCAGATGTGACCACTTTGGGGCTGACATTCTATTAGTCTATAGTAGTACATCTACATGGAGCTCTACAGATAGAATGTTTTTACCCAAGCAGAGTCACAGAAAATTGGGGCTAGAAGAGGCCTTAGACTCTAAGAAGACTTGAATTCTTCCAATGTCAAATCCATGACTTTCCCCACTAACATAGAAATTGCCAGTGTAAGTGTACCTCAAATGATCTGTGACCCCATCCTTCCCCACTCTCTCAGGATGGGGTTAATTAACACAGCTGTGGCAGTCTGCTGAGAAGTCATCTCCAATTCAACTAGATGCTTATTTTATCTCATTCTCTTAAATTTATTGTTTTTGGAGTTAGATCCAAAACCAAGCCAGTCACCCAAGCTCAGAAATATTTATACAACTGAACTTTGATCAAAGTCCTTGTACAATCCTGAAATAACCCCACTCTGTGTGGTCTTAGAATAGCTCATTCCTCTCACACAAAACAAGTCCTTTCCATCCATGAAGCAGCAACATTCTCTTTGGTGTAATCCATGGTTAGACAGGCAACCCTGAAGCAAGGGGCTGAATGGGTTACCTAGGAATTTGGGGACATATAGGTGGGTCAGTCAGTCCTAGGGCCATAGATTTAAAGTCGTAAGTTACCTTAGAAATAACTGAATCTTCCATAAAAGAGCCAAATTTCCTAAAACACAAATTTGATTGTGTCTGATCCCTTAGTCACTTAAATTAAATTAAGTCTAACCCCACTCCAAGACCCAGAAGAGTTGTGTATTTATTTCATCCCAAAATCAAAAGATTGACATACATTTATTAAGCATCTTCTATATGCTATGCTACACATTGGAGATAAGAAAACAAAGGTGAAAGAGTTCCCTGCCTTCAAAGAGCCTACAGTCTAATGAAGAATGACACTGTGTATGTAGGTATGCACGGAATAGATGATAATTGGAATGAGGAATAAATGGGAGTTATCAGCAACCACCAGGATCAAGAGAGGTTTCAGGTGGGCTTGATCTGGGTCTTGAAGGGAATTAGCTATTTTAAAAGGAGAAGGTATGTCAGTCAATTGATACGCATTTATTAAACACTTATTATGTGCCAAGTTCTGTGGAAAGAAAGACAGTCCCTACCCTCAAAGAACTTACATTTTAATGGGGGAAGATAACATATGAAAGGAAATTGAACATTGTTAGGGCAGAAGGAGGGGGAGAAAGGTACCAGTTGAGGAGCTATGAAGGAGGAATCCAGAGAGAAACCTGGTGAGAGATGAAGAAATGGTTGGCCTGGGCCCCCTCCTTTATACAGGTCCTGGAGGAGCCATGCAATCAAAGCGAGGGACTGCAGGGGTGGAGGGCACTTGCAGGATGTGAGCTTCCAGGACGAAGAGGTTTCCGGGGCATGCTGGAGACTCGGAGGCACGCACAGCCTAGTGAGGGACAAAGGAGTTCAGCCTTCTTACTCAGAAGCAAGTCCTTCATCTTGAATCATTTTGAGAACTGCCTCAGGTCCTCCCTTAACTTTTACCACAGATTCTGTCATGCCTGGCAAGCAAAGGGACAGGGAAGCTATAGGAGAGAGGATTCATTTACACAGATAAAGTCAAGTGCAGCCAATTCCTTGACCATAAAGTCAAATGGAGACAATTACTTAAGCAGAGTAGACCTCAGGCCCAACAAATCTAAAGCTAGTATGGAGCTTTGTTGTTATTGTTCAGTAGTTTCAGTTGTTTCTGGTTCTTTGTGACCACATTTGGGGTTTTCTTGGAAAAGACACTGGAGGGATTTGCCATTTTCCAGCTCATTTTACATATGAGGAAACTGAGGCAAACAGGGTTAAGTGACTTGCCCAGGGTCACACAGATAGTAAGTGTCTGACACTGGATTTAAACTCAAGTCTTATTGACTCCAGGGCTGGGTCTCTCTCCCCTGTGCCACCTAACTGCCCAGAAGGGGGCTTTAGAAATCATCTAGTCCAGTCCTTTCAATCCTTTACAGAGAAGAAAGAAGCCGAGGTCCAGAGGGGATGGGTGACTTGCCCAAAGGGCAGAGCTCTCTTTCCACTACACCACACTTAAAATAGAGTTGGGATAACTCCAGAAACCTGATTGGGGAGAGTGGTCTTCCACAATGGCTTCTTGGGAGCTCTGTTCTCAAACAAGTCAAACAAGTCTCAAACAAGACTTGGTGGGATAGCATCCTTTTGTAGAGGGCTCACAACTGACCCTTGTGGGAGCTTGTTTGCCCTGAACAGTTAACTTTCAGCCACCAGCCAGAGGCATCCAGCCAGGAGTAGGGCCTTTCTACTGATACCTTGTTTGTTGTTCTCAGGATTCACTAGAGCTCCATGAAGTGGCATTTCCAAATACTATACTTATTTTTTTGTTGTACTTAATAGTAGTTTTGTATTTTGTTGTTGTACTTAATAGTATTTTTAATTACATGTAAAGATAGTTTTCAACATTCATTTTTGTAAGAGTTTGAGTTCTGAAATTTTCTCCCTCCCTCCCTTCCCTCCCCTCTCCCCAAGACAGCAAACAATCTGATATAGGCCACACATACACAATCATATTAAACATATTTCCATATTAGTCATGTCGTGAAAGAAGAATCAGAACAAAAGGGAAGAACCATGAGAAACAAAAAGCAAACCAGAAAAAAAGAGAAAATAGTATGCTTCAATCTGAATTCAGACTCCACAGTTCTTTCTCTGGATGTGGATAGCATTTTCCATCACAAGACTTTTGAAATTGTCTTGGATCATTTTATTGCTAAGAAGAGCTAAGTTTATCATAGTTGATCATCGCACAGTGTTTCTGTTATTGTGTACAATGTTCTCTTGGTTCTGTTCACTTCACTCAGCATCAATTCATGTAAGTCTTTATAGGTTTTTCTGAAGTCTACTTCCTCATCATTTCTTATAGAACAATAGTATTCCATTACATTCTTATACACAACTTGTTCAGCCATTCCCCAATTGATGGGCATCCCCTCAATTTTCAATTCTTTACCACCACCAGATATTACAGTTTAAACCCAGCAGTGATGCTCATCTGTCATTGTGCTGACATCAGCAGAAAGTGGAGCACTGGGAAAAGAGATTAAAAATTTGCCTCTGACCTAGGTTCTGGCATACCACAATAAGAGAATCTGATGGGGCCAGGGGAGCTCCCAAAGAGTGCCACCCTCAGGGCAGGTAGGCTGTGCAGTGGATAGAGCATTGACCCTGGATTCAGGAGGAAGTGAGTTCAAATCCAGTCTCAGACACATAACACTTACTCACTGTGTGACCCTGGGCAATTCACTTAACCCCATTGCCTAGCCAAAAAAAAAAAAAGAATGCCACTCTTCAGGGTGTGGGTGAGTATACAATCTCTCCTTATGAATGTTTCACGATCATGCTTCAGATTGTATGTGAGTATATCACCTCTCTTTGTTATTATCCTAATAAAATTAATAGCATATCAGAGCTGTACTAGTATAGGGTAAATAGGGCTTTGCCCCAGAGTGTCAGCATTTGGGGGTGAGTGGCTTGGAAACCTCTGGGATAGAGGAGTAACTGTCTTTACACCTTGCCTCAGTCCTCTAACACCACACAGCACAGTCACTGCCCCTAAGATCCTGCCACTGTAGTATTTGTCCCCTGGATACACTTGCCCTCCATCTCCTGAGGGCTGAGGGAAGGGCCAGACCTTCGTTTCTCTCAGCTCAACTGCACCCTCAGTCAGATTGTCCCCTGCAGCATTTCTGCATGCCATCACATCCCCATTTCTGACTTTTTGCCCCAAGTGAAAACACGTCTAGTTAAGATTCTAGCTCATATTGATGTAGCATTTTAAAGTCACAAAGTACCTTATATCCATCATCTCATTTCATCCTCTCAACTATATGAGGTAAGCAACGCCAGGAACCCAACTCCCATTTCATATATAAGGACACTGATGCTTAGAGTCATGAAATGACACAAGGCATCGTGGTACAGTGGAAAGAGGGCTAGATTTGCAGTCAGAGACCTGGATTCAAATCTTGAGCAAGTTATTTATGGTCTATGTGACCCTGAAGAACTTATTTCTCCCCTTTGGTATCAGTTTCCTGTCTGTAACATGAAGGGATTGGAGTGGATAGTTTATAACGTCCTTTCCAGCTCTGAATCTATGATCCTACAAAGAATGACCCCAGTGCCCCCAGCTGCTAGTGCCTTTGCTTTTCAGATTTCCTCAATTCTTTTTCTCGTATGTACTTATCTATATACTTGTCTGTCCTCATTAGAACGTAAACTCCTTGAGGGCAGGTACTGCTTTTTTTGTATCCTCAGCACTTAGCTTGTGCCCAGCACATAGTAAATACTTAATAAATACGTGTTGACTGGTTGAGAAAGTCATACAGCTGGTGGATCACAGTGGTCAGAGTAGGGAATTTGAACATCAATCTTCCAATTCCAAATCCAAGACTTCTCCCACTGCTTCCTATCGTACATTCTGTGACTAATGAAACACCTGAGAGACAGAGTTTCTGGGTAATTGATAATCAATTTATTCATTAGGCTAGCTAATCATAAATAGATTGACGGTCAGTGGTTTCTCTTGGCAACCAAAGACAAAACCATGGAGAGGATGAAAGCTTTAATATACTTTTGGAAAAGAGAATGTCCCTGACAAGTGAAAATCAACCCTGAGTGGTGGACATTTGATGAGGAGGTGGGCTAGAAGTCTTCAGCTCCTCCTGCTGAGAACATGGCTTGATCATGAGACTCAGCCACCTCCTGAAATCTAGAAGGGAAATCCATCTCCATCCAGATTGCTCTGGTTGGTTTTCTCCTTCATGAGCTGGGTCACTCTTATTTCTAATGGAGGGGATAAGGACAGAGACTCATTTCCCCATGCAAGAACTTGCCTAGACTGGATTCTATTTATACTCTAAACAGAAGTAAGGTCTCCTAGTTGGGTGGGGTCAGGCCCAAGATCCAGGAGAATGTTCCCTGAGGTTTAGGGCCATCTCATCCATCAGACATGTCTTCCAGAGCCTTAAATGAGGAAATAAAAGGAAAAAAGCCTGAATCCTAATTTAATAATTGTTTATTAATATAGTACTAAAATAATAGCTTCTCTCAATTCTCTAGCACTTGGAGTCTGTACCTTGCCCTCTAGCCCTAGATTTCATGCAGTCTTTTATTGTCCGCTGGTTTTCTCATGTTTGCCCCTGCAAACTACAGTAAAGACCCATAGAAGGCAAGGAACGTATCATGGACTGTCTTAATCACCCATAGAGTTGAGCCAAGTACTGAGGTATCCCTGGCACATGGCACAGACTCCTCAAGTAATAAAAATACCTCATATTATATAGTATGTTAGGGTGTGTATTATAGAGGAAGGAAGGAAGGATTTATTACATGCCTATTATAGGCTACGCCCTGTGCTAAGCACTTTACAAATACAATCTCATGTAATACTCACAATAATCCTAGGAAGGAGATGTTGTTACTGTCTCCATTTTACACTTGAGGAAACTGAGGCAGGAAGAGATTAAGCAATTTGCCCAGAGTCACACAACCAGTAAGTGCCTGAAACTGGATTTGAACTCAGGTCTTCCTGACTCCAGACTGAGCACTCTATCCACTGTGCCACCTAGCTGCAGTGGATAGTGCATTGTGGGTATCTCCACAATAACCCTTATTTTGTAGATGAGGAAATTAATATTGGGGTGGGGGGGGAGGTGTTTGGGTTTGAAATGACTTACCCAGGGGCAGCTAGGTGGCGCAGTGGATACAGCACTGGCCCTGAAGTCAGGAGGACCTGAATTCAAATCCAGCCTCAGACCAAACACTTGTGTATGACCCTGGGCAAGTCGCTTAACCCCAATTGTCTAAGAAAAAAATCCCAATCCCCCCCCCAAAAAAAGTGGGAAATAGTATGAAATGACTTGCCCAAGGTCAAGCAAATGGAAGAAAAGGGACTCAGACCCAGGTCCTTTGATTTCACTTCTGGTGTTCTTTCCACTATACCACGTGTCCTCAGAGTACTTTAGAATTCTGAGATACTCAAAATGATTTGTGATCTCATCAATGTGGATTTTCCCTCTGGTAATAAAAACCAACAATAGCATTTTAAGGTTTGCAAAGTTCTTTACAAATATTATTTCATCTTAATCTTACTGCCACCCTGGGAGGTAGGACCTATTATCATCTCCATTTTACAGATGAGGAAATTGAGGCAGAGAGAGACCAAATGACTTGCCCAAGGTCACATAGCCAGAAAATGTCTGAAGCCGGATTTGAACTCAGGTCCCACATCTGCCCATCCTATTCTACTCTTGTTCATATTCTCCCATAAGTTCACTTTGGGGGGTCCAAAGTGCTGTGGACCTGCCTTGATTTCTCCCAGCATCTGAGGATGCCAGTTAGCAGTGTGAGCCATCTTTGGTTACTCTATGGTTAGTCCACATGACCAGCCCATCTTCCTTTTCATTTAGTACTTAGCTAAATGGTACCTGGCATATCGTAGGCACTTCATAAATGTTCATTGATTCATTCATTCATTGGATGGCATCCTTTATCTTCATTCATAATTACCTGTTTGGGGTGTGCCATGGGCCTCTCAGCTCCCACCTTTCAAATGGCCTCTGGGGGATAGTCATTTTCAGTTCTTTAGAGACTGTAACGTTCCACGTTTTGCAGTCATACAACAACACCAGAACTATATGGATGTTTAGAAAAGAAGTTGGGTCTGTATTTCAGAAACGAATTTGAACTCATTAAAATAACTTTGCCATTTTCCAAAGGTAAAAGCATTCTCTTCCCCTGTTCAATTCTGGGCCCAAGTCACTGTCCATGAATGTGCAAGATTCACAAACTGGTGGATGAGGTTGTCTCCCAAGTCTATAGGTGGCCTCTACATTCTTCACCAGAACAAGAAGTCTATAGGCTTTCCCTCCATTTCCTCTCCTCTCACTCACTTCTCAACTCTTTGCACACTGGATTTGCCATTAAGTTATTATGATTACAAAACAGAAGCAAAGACATATTAGAGAGAGAGAGACAGAGAGGTGGGGGGTGGGGGGAGGGAGAGAGAGAGAAGGCACTAGCAGCTGGGTACATCCAGGAAGGTTTCATGGAGAAGGAGGTATTTGAGCTGAACCTAGAAGGAAAGCAGGAATTCACGGAAGTTGAGATGACAGCAGCATGCATTTCAGACATGGGGGTCAGCCAGTGCATAGATACAGGAAATGGAGGGCTGGAGTCAGCAATGTGCTAGCAAATGTTTAACAACTGGCTTTCTTTAAAAAAAAAAAAAAAGGTGTGTGCAGTACATAGGACAGCTAGGTGGCGCAGTGTATCTACTCTGTTGAGTGCTAGGCCTGGAGTTAAGAAGACTCCTGTTCCTGAGTTCAAATCTGGCCTCAGAAACTTACTAGCTGAGTGACCCTGGGCAAGCCATTTAACCCTATTGGCCTCAGTTTCCTCATCTATCAAGTAGGTTGGAAAAGGAAAGGGAAAACCACTCTAGTATCTTTGCCAAGGAAATCCCAAATGGGGTCACAAAGAGTCAAACATGACTGACCAACAGAGTGTAAATGCTCACCTAAAAATTTAACAATAGGCTATCATGATCTGGTATGAGCTGGCTCCAGCACACGCCTGGCAGTAGGTGAGGAATAGTAAGAAGTCCGGTTAAGTTGTGAAGGGCTTTAAATGCCAAATAGATGAATGTGTATTCAATCCTAAAGGTAATAAGGAGCCAGTGATGTTTATTGAATAGGATGGTGCCATGATAAGACCTATGCTTTAGGAGTTACTTTGGCAGCTATGTGGAGGACTGGTTGTTATGGGGAAAGACTTAAGGCAAACAGACCAATTAGGATACTATTGCAGGAGTCCAAGCAAGAAGTGATGAGTCTGAGTCAGGTGGCTATGTAGGTGGAGACGGGACAGGTGCAAGAACTATTGAAGAGATGGAAAAGATAAGATTTGCATTTGATTGGATATATGGGTTGAATAAGAGTGAGAAACTGAAGATGAGACCAACGTCAAAAGACTGGGTGAGTAGAAGGATGGTGATATCTTCAACAGGAATAGGGAAGTTAAGAAGGTTGGGTTCAGATTACAAAACTGACAGAAAAATAAAATAACAAATGTTGGAGGGAAAAAGGACTTCGGTGGAACTGTGAATTGATCCAGCCATTCTGGAAGCACGTCTGAAAATTACTAAGCTGTGCGTACCCTTTGAACCCATAATACCACTACTAGGCCTATATCTCAAAAAGAATAAAGAAAAAGGAAAGGGTCTTTTATACATAAATATTTATAACATCTCTTTTTGTAGTAGCAAAGAACTGGAAACTTAGGGGATGCCTATCAATTAAAGCGACTTAGGTGTGTTTAGGGGCACCAGAGAAGGAACCAGTAGGCAGAAAGAAATTCAAGATTAAAAGAAGAGAGAATGATTACAGGGGCAATCTATTGGAGAAGAGAGGGGGAGATGGGATCAAGGAACATTTAGAAGGGTTGGCCTAGGCAATGAGGAAGGTCACCTTTTCATCAGAGTAAATGAAGAGAAAACAGAGGATGGTATCAAGGAGGTGAGGAATCTTATAACAAATAGTCTCTGTTCCACCAGTAAAGTGTGAAATGGGGTCCTCAGCTGAGAGGGTGAGGATAGGAGGTACTTTGGAGGATTTGAGGAAAGAAAAGAAGGTTTGGAGCAGCCACTGTGGGAATGGAATAGAGAATCAATTAGGGAGGAGCAGAAGGATTGCCTTGCTACAGTGAAGGCCCAAATTAGATCAGATAGCACAAATTTGTAGTGGACCCAGTCAGTGTGATGGTTGTTTCATTTAGCAGCAAATGAGTAGAAATAGAGGAGGCAGGTGGTGGAAGCAAATCAGGGTTGGAGTCTAGAAAAGTATGAGCTCAGCGATCTTAGAAAGGCATGGAAAGACCTGTTCAAAATGATAGTGAAGTGAGCAGAACTAAGAGAACATTGTATACAGTAATAGCAATATTGTTTTAAGAATAATTTTGAGTGAATAAGTCCTTTTGACTTATAAATGCACAAGTTAAAAACAAAGGACATATGAAGAAAGATGCTATCTACATCCAGAGAAAGAACTGATAAATGGAAATATGTATAGAATAATGACATATATATTACATATGTATGTATATATGTGTGTGTGTGTGTGTATACCTATTTGTGTCTAATGATAGCTATTTTTGGGGGCGAAGGGGAGAAAAAAAGAAATTTTCATGATAACTTTATTATATATTTAAAAGAAATAGCAAGTTGTACATAATAGGTTTGCAGTTTCATGTGCAATTATCTTTTTAACTATACTATGTTATAAAAATGCTTGTTTTATTCCATAAATTAAAAATAAAATTAATTTTTAAAAAAGCATGAGCAGCAATGGGCCAGGAGACCAAGGAATTCAGGTGTAGAGTTTAACCAGTTAATTGTAGGGTTAAAAATGGGAAGAGAGGAAAGTAAAGCCAGAAGAGGGGTGATGGTTAGAGGAACAGAGGGACTGGATGTCATGATGAGGACAAAGAATAGATTTAGGAAGAATAAAGCATAAGAAGAAATTGAAAGATAGGTTATGATCAAATAAAGGAATTTCAGAGTTCTTGGTCACAGAAGTTGAATACCTGTGGTTGATGGCAAGATGAAGGGTGTGACCATTCCTATTTGTAGCTAAGGTGGAGTGGTAGTAAGGTCAATCCCCTACCTCCAAGAGTAGATCTCTCCTTTGTACAATGGTCTAGTTCAGCTGTTTTTCCCATTGTTCTCTTCAGTATCATTTCTTCTTCTTGTATAACCATATATCTTGGACTGTGACATTCAAGTCCAAGCATGGTGGTTCCATTCTCTACAATAAGGAAGATAATTTGCATTTAATGTTGTTCATTCTTCATTCTCAGAGAAGACCAATGACATCAGGAGAGTGATGCCTTGACTTGAGCATGAATTGAATCTGAGAGAGGCAGACCTGCACAGTCATCAGCCTCCCTCTTTCCTCCAGAGTCAAAGAAGTCCAGCAGCAAGACAAAAGTCAAGACAACTGGCAATGGCCCAGAATGTTGAAAACAGTCTGTTACTAAAAAACAAAAATTGCCAGTCTCTTCCATGTTCCACCTGTCCTCTTCCTTCTAGCTTCATTTTCAAATGCCCCTGAGATTGAAGTTGGGTTGAGACTCAACTTTAGTTAGTTCAATCTCTTTCCAAGTTTTCTTGGAACTAATTTTATCCATCACTGCTTCTCTGTGTTTTATGAAGTGATATTGCTCATAATCTCGCACCATCCTTCCTTTAAAAATTTTACAAATGAGTTTCTATTCTAAATCTGTATTACCTTTGGCTGCTCTGTTTCTCCATCTGCAGAGAAACACAAGTGTTTACTAATTAAGATGGCTTTTAGGCTCTCAAGCCATCCTCACTACAGCAATTGATTTATATCTGTTAAACTTCTGAATGAATTTATTATTATTTGCATCAGCATCCTTTCATCCAATCACATCCCATTTTTTATCACCAATTGCTTTTAAATAAATCAAGTTGGAGTTATTTTATCTGTCATATCATTTTCTTATTTCTATTCTTTTCTCCTTTGTGGTGGTGTTCAGTTTTTTCAGTCATACCCAGTTCTTTGTGAATCCATTTGGGGTTTTCATGGTAAAGAAAACCTTCTTCAGCTCATTTTACAGATAAGGAAACTGAGGCAAACAGGGTCACCCAGGGTCACACAGCTAGTGAGTGTCTGAGGCCAGTTTAGAACTCAGGAAGATGAGTCTTTCTGACTTCAGGTCTAGCATTTTATCAACTGTGCCACCTAGCTCTCCCATTCTTTTCTCTAGCTTTGTATTAATTTTTATCTTTGCTCTAACAAATTTGTGGCCTGACTGTAAAAGGATGCTTGTTTCAGGATCATTCCCACATGATTCAGGAATCATTCCCACACCAGTCAATGAGTCATTTCCTGTCTGTCAAGGTATAATCATTTTCAGTGTATGTATGTGTGTGGGGGGGGGTTGTTATTTGGTACTCACCATTTCCAGGGCTGGCAGTTAGATGGCAGAGTGGATAGAGTGGTGGGTCTGGAGTCAGGAAGACTCATCTTCCCGAGTTCATATCCAGCCTCAGACACTTTCTAGCTGGGTCACCCTAGGCAAGTCACTTCACCCTTTTTACCTCAGTTTCCTCATCTGTCAAAAGAACTGGAGAAGGAAATTGCAAATCATTCCAGTATCTTTGCCAAGAAAACCCTAAATGGAGTCTCAAAGAGTTGGATGTGACTAAAAAGCAACTGAACAACAACAAATTTCTAGAGCTTCCCCATTCTTTTCTTGAAGAAAGTATTCATGATTATAGGATCATAGATTTAGAGCTGGAAGTTCAAGCTCCTGATTTTGCAGATGAGGAAAATGAGCCACAGGGAGGTGATGTGATTTGCTCAAAGTCGCTCAGGTAGTAAGCAACAGTTAGGATTTGAACCCAGCTCTACTGACTCCAGAGCCAATTTAAAGAAACAGCCTTTAAACTTCATCATGGGAAGTGGAGGCAAAGGGAGGCAAGGGGAAGTATGGTGCTTCCCACAAAGGAAATCCTGCTGCAACCCAAAATAACATCTTGCAATGCTGAGTCAAGTCAATAAGCATTTATTAAGTGTTTTTTATGTGTCTGGCACTATGCTAAGCGAGATACAAATACATGCAAAAAAAAATACAATCTCTGCCCTCAAAGATTCTAATGGGAGAAAATAACACATAAAAAGGAGCCGACAAGTAAAGGAGTAGAGGAGGAAGGAGGGACAGGAACTTCAGAGTCAGAAGCAGAGCCAAGAGAGGAATGAAAGATGGCTGCTTGGTCCCTTCCTCAAAATAGAGGTTCTGGGAGGAACTCACCAGTGGAAGTAGGAGACTGTTGGGTGGAAAGTCTTTCTGGGGAGCTAAGGCCAAAGAATAGAGTGATCTTCCAGGGTGACAAGGTAGCTGGCATTTGAGAGTCAGAAGCAAGGAATGAAGCACAGCTGGTCTTTTCACTTCCTTAAAAAAAAAAAAAGTTTAGTCATCAATGAAAAAGAGAGAGACCTTCAACCAAAGAGAAGTATTAGAGGTGGTCCTGAAAAAAAGGACATAATGATGTACTTCATTTTTTTCATGTATACAATGAAAGGGGTAGATTAAATGACATGTAAGGTCCTTTACATCTCTAAATCCATGCTTCTATAATTCTATGTGAATAAAGAAGGAAAAAGAAAAAGATTAATCAACAGGGACTGCATACTTGCCCTGAGCAATCTGCTTTCCTACGTTATCTCCTTTATGCAGATTTCTCTCATATCCATACGTCCAACCCCAATCTCTCTCCTGAGCTCCTGTCCCATATCACATTTACCTATCGGATATTTTGACCTGGATATCTTATAGATATCTCAAACACAACATTTCCAAAATGGTACTCGTTCTCTCCTTCTCCCACCTCTTCTGAACTTCATTATTTTGGTCAAGAATGTCAGAATCTTTCCAGTTACCCAGGGACACATCCCTGGTGTCATATTCAATTCCTCTTCCTCCCTCACCACACAAATCTAACCATTCTTCTTATATTTCCCCTCTTCTCCACTTACACAGTCCCCACCTTCATTCAGGCCCTCATCTCCTCTAAACTGTGTACTGTAATGGCCTCCCTCCTTTAATTCTCTCCCCACTCTAATCCACGCAATTGCCAATATTATTTTTCTAGAGCATTAGACTGACCACCTCATCCCACTACCATAAAATCTCCAGTGGCTGTTTATCACATTTGGGATCGTCTGCTATTTAAAATACCTGGACCCAGCCCATCTTTCCCATTCTAGCTTTCATATACATTACTTCCCTTCACTCTACAGTCAAGCAACACTGCTTTTCAATGCTCCATCTTCCAACTTGGTGTCTTTGTACTGGCTATCTTCCATGCCTGGAATTCTCTCCTTTCTCACATTCTTCTCTTGGAATCTTTGATTTCCTTCAAGACTTGGGTTCAGGTCCCATCTTGGACACATACTGGCTTTCTGACCCTTGGCAAGTGACTCAACCTTTCAGTGCCCCACTTGACTTTCTTTTTATTTATTTATTTATTACTAGTTTTCAACATTCACTATTATAAGATTTTGAGTTTTAAATTTTTCCCCCTCCTTCCCTTCCCCTCTCCCCAAGATGGCATGTAATCTGATATAGGCTATACATGTACAATCATATTAAGCATATTTCCACATTAGTCATGTTGTGAAAGAAGAATCAGAACAAAAGGAAAAACCACAAGAAAGAAAAAACAAACAATAAAAAAAGAGAAAATAGTATGCTTCCATCTGCATTCAGACTCCACAGTTCTTTCTCTGAATGTGGATAGCATTTTCCATCATGAGTCTTTTGGAACTCTCTCAGATCATTGCATTGCTGAGAAGAGCTAAGTCTATGAAAGTTGGTCATCACACAATGTTTCCGTTACTGTGTACAATGTTCTCCTGGTTCTGCTCACTTCACTCAGCATCAGGACATACAAGTCTTTCCAGGTTTTTCTAAAGTCCATTTGCTCATCATTTCTTATAGAACAATAGTATTCCATTCCATTCATATACCACAACTTGTTCAGCCATTCCCCAACTGATGAGCATCTGCTCAATTTCCAATTCTTTGCTACCACAAAAAAAGCTGCTATAAATATTTTTGTACATGTGGGTCCTTTTCCCTCTTTTCATGATCTTTTTGGAATACAAACCTAGAGTGCCATTGCTGGATCAAAGGGTATGCACAGTTTAATAGCTTTTTGGGTATAGTTCTCCACGTGACCTTCTAAGGTTAAAATTTGCAGATAAGGTACTGCCTTCACATCTATGGAGGGAATTTCCTCATCAGGAGTTTATTCCAATGAAATCACAGGTCCAATTTCATCCCATTCTTGTCTATTATAGAGTGCTGAGCAGCCTGTGAAAGGTAAGAGGTTCTAAGAGAGGTAAAACAACGGAAGTTGGAACTACCACATTTCCTCTGATTCATTCCCATATCACTGAACCAGAGTGATACAAGTGCATTCTTGTAGGCAAATGTACTCATGATTTCCAAGAAAACTTAATGAAAACAAAGTAAAAGGAAGAAATAGAATTATTTGCATTTCCTTTTTCATTTTCACTGTGATTTCCTATATTCATGTAAATGACTGATATGGCATAAATAAGTGAACAAATAGACATTTATTAAGTTCTTACTAGGGGCCAAGCAGTGTGCTGTGCTAACTGGGGAAACAAATAGAAAATTGAGACAGTTTCTGCTGTCAAGGAGCTCACCCTCTCATTGGAGGAGAAGACATGATTTTCTATGAAAAGACAGTTCATCTGCAGGGCAGATGGAAAGGACCAGAAATCCTAAGGGTGTAGTGGTGAGATGGACATCAAGGTCAAGGAGTCCATAGGCTATATCAGCAGGTTAGATGGTAGTGCCAGGGGCAGGGGTATGCTGGTAAATATTTAACTACCAGTTCTTGAAAAAAAAAGTACCTATGACACACTTTTAAATTTAACCTGCATTAGTAACATTTTCTCCATCCTTTCTTAACTCTAGACAATCAACCAAACAATAAATCAAGCCCTGATTTGGGGGTTGCTGGTTTCCGAGGTGTAAATGTTCACACTATAGTCATCAGAGAACTGGTTAGTGATGGTTTCAGAGCACCCCTGCCCAGAGTCTGTGAAACGTAGAGGCAGGGCAAATGGTGAAGGAAAAGAGTAGGTGACTCCTATCTCATCCAGACTGTGTGAGCAGTCAGGCAGGCAGGCAGGCAGGCAGGCAGCCCAGATGGGTTCTGGGCAGCTCCAGGAAAGGGGCTGAAGAGGGTACGGGAAATAGTGCCTCTAGGGGTGATGGGAGCTGCTGCCCAGCCGTGGTTTACAACAAACTTGAAGCCAGAGGAAGTAGAGAGAGAGTAAGGCAAGGGGCAGAAGGACACCCTCATGGCAGCTGGCCTCCACCCAGGCAGCAATGGGTACAGCATTGGGCCTGGAATCAGGAAGACCTGAGTTCAAATCCAGTTTCCGATACTTACCAGCTGTGTGACCCTGAACAAGTCACTTAATCTCTGTTTGCCTCAATTTCCTCAACTGAGGTTAATACCAGTACCTTTCTGGGTTGCTGTGAAAATTTAAGCATTTAGCACGGTGCCTGACACATAGGAAGTGCTATATAAAGGCTTATTCCCTTCCCCACCTCTTCCACGCATACATTTTATGCATGCATTCATCTGCATGGCTGATATGTTCTTTATCTTCTTACATGAACAGAGTTCATTTGTCGCTTCACCAAATACTTAGCAAGTACCTAATACATAGAAGGAGTCATTTTAAGTGATGACAGTTTTCCAAGTTTACTCCCAATCCCTAAATGCACTCACAATTACCAGGTTAGGTTGATTGACCTGCTGCTGACATAGCCTAAGACCTCCTCAACCTTGACGTCCATCTCACCACTACACTCTTAGGATTTCCTGTCCTTTCCATGTGCCCTGCAGATGAACTTTCTTTTCATAGAAAATCATGTCTTGGGGGCAGCTAGGTGGCACAGTGGATAGAGCACCGGCCCTGGATTCAGGAGGACCCGAGTTCAAATCTGGCCTCAGACACATAACACTTACTATCTGTGTGACCCTGGGCAAGTCACTTAACCCCCATTGCCCAACAACAACGACAAAAAAAAAAAAAGAAAAAAAAATCATGTCTTCTCCTCCAATGAGAGGGTGAGCTCCTTGAGAGCAGAAACTGTCTCAATTTTCTATTTGTTTCTCCCCGTTAGCACAGCACACTGCTTGGCCCTTAGTAAGCGCTTAATAAATGTCTATTTGTTTACTCATTTATGCCATATCAGCCATTTACACGAATCCAGGAAATCACACAGTGTGTGTGAAAATGGAAAAAGAAATATAAATGATCCCTACTCCATCCTCAGTAAACTATGCTTCATCTTCTATTCACACTCTTTCCACCTTCTGCTCTTCATGGAAACCTGGCTCTCTCTGAAAGACATAACCCACTTGACCAATCACTGCAGTACTGCCAGTATGCTCCCATGGGACAAGCACTAGCTCTGGGTCAGAGGTTTCAGGTTCA